GAAATGTTCCTATGAAAACAGTGTGTAGGTGCTATATACATTTTTGAAAAACAACTTACAAGGAAGGAGTGAAGTGAAGTGTGTGGAATTAGTTTGCATTCCTAAATTTGAAAAATGGGTACAAAAAAAATATAGATGTTTGCTAAAGCAGATAAAATGTCAAATTAGTACCAGTTTAATATTTATGGATGGCTCAGTTCTCTGTTGTAAGCTACTAAGTATGACTAGCTAAGCTGAAGGTCCGTCCACGTCCTTGTCTGTTTAATTTGACAAATGGCTTCTAAAACATGCTGAAAACATGGACATTTCATTGCTGAGTTTTCTTGTAAAAGTAGTGATCAGCCAGAAAATATTATTAAAAGGGTCCCTAGAGAGGGGGGGAGGGAGAGAGAGAGGGTGGGGGAAAGAAAGATCTTGTAGTAGGCATTGATGCAGAAACCATGTCCTATCCTATTTGTTCCACATGCACCATCAATTTCCTCTAATTTTCAGGAAAGTTTTCCAAAGCTATACGTAGAGGTAGGCCGCGCCTCACCATGGCTCATTTAGTGACTGTTCCAGGTTACAACCATTTTTCACACTTATGACCATCGTGGCATCCCCATGGTCACGTAATCAAAATTCAGATGCTTGGCAACTGGTCTAGGGTTTCCTGCCTGAGCTGTGTGTTTGTGTGTGTGTGTATGTGTGTGTGTGTGTGTGTGTGTGTGTGTGTGTAGAAGAAGAAGAAGGAGGAGGAGGAGGAGGAGAGAGGAAGGGAAAGAGAGGGAGAGAAAGGAAGAGAAGTGGGAGGAAGAGGGAGAGAGAGAAAGAGAGAAAGGAGGAGGAGGAGTGAGCGAGGGAAAGAGAGAGGGAGAGAGAAAGAGAGGAAGAGAAGCAGGAGGAAGAGGGAGGGAGAGAAGAAGAAAGAGGTGGAGTGAAGGATGGAAAGAGAGAGAGGGAGAGAGAAAGAGAGGAAGAAAAGCGGGAGGAAGAGGGATGTAGAGAGAGAGAAGAAGAAGGAGAAGAAAGAGAGGAGGGGAAAGAGAGAGAGAAAGAGTAAGAGAGGGGAGGAAGAGGGAGTGAAAGAGAGAGAAAGAGGAAGAGAGAGACCCTCCAATTTACTGATCTTGGTGCTGAGTGGAGAGGACCATAGGAACAGCTAATGCTAGATGACAAAAGGTGAGTGTATTAGTCACAAAACGTTTGCTGCATTCTCTCACAGCGGCGTGACAATCTTTGCAGCCAAGCCCGGCAAAGAGGACCTTGCCTGTGACAAACTGTCATCTTGGCTTGGTGGAGCTTTCGAGCGCCAGTCACAATAGTCAGAGAAGATTGAAGTGACAGAGGCCCACTGAGTAAATGGTGAAACATGCCTCGGATTATGAAATATTCAGCCGGGGTGTAAAAGCTCTAAATGCTTTTTCAATTATTAGCACCACCTGCTTTGGCTGCCTGCAGTCTCACTAACCGCATGCTAATTGCCACAATTTGTTAGGGCAGTTAGAAGCGAGAGTAGAAAAGGCAGGGGAAGTTACCCACTGGATCTGAAGGGGAAACCAAACACCACTGTCCTTCCTCCCTTAAAAACAAGACCACCATAAGGAGCGCATAAAAAAAAAAGAAATGTTGCATATCCACAACTTCAGCATACACTGAAGACGTTATTGGCTTGATATGATATGTGGACATGGATCATAATGAAATTTGTAAGCTTCTTGACACAATGAAAGGGAGGTTCAGGGGTGAAAAGCTACTGGTTCAGGCACATACACACATACACATACACACATACACATACACATATACACATATACACATATACACACACACACACACACACACACACACACACACACACACATTCATTGAGGGAATTTTAAAAGGGCTGCGAAGAGACTGTTGCTCTTTAAAGTATAATATAAGCTCTCCCACGGCAAGTTTTCTGGAAAAGGAATTTGTGGTTTTGTTCGAGGCAGCCTTTCTATGAGTTATAGCATTGCATTTACTGTGGCTCTTGAGCTTCATTGATCATAAGCGGCATTATCTGCTCTGGAAAACTCAGAACATTTTTACTTTCTTCTGTGCTGGAACTTCAGTGTGCATAATTTTGGGGTAGATGTACAGAGGAGCTGGGTATTTGGAGCTATAGATATGAGAAGAGCCACTTGGTTGATTTTGTAAAACAAGCATTCCATTGCTTTGGGTTTATTTCTTTGTACAAACCTGAGGTGATGCATTGAAAGCCAGCACGATCTTCTTTTCAAGACTTTCTTTCAAAATGCACGATTTGTTCTAAAATAATAGGACCTTATCCTTTTTGGGGAGGTGGGTTAAATGTCTTCTATTCTATTCTGGGGACGCAGTGACTTAGTGGCTGAGACACTGAGCTTGTCGATCAGAAAGGTCAGCAGTTTGGCAGTTTGAATCCCTAGTGCTGCATAACAGAGTGAGCTCCTGTTACTTGTCCCAGCTTCTGCCAATATAGCAGTTCGAAAGCATTTAAAAAATGCAAGTAGAAAAAACGTTTGGTGGGAAGGTAACAGTGTTCCTTGTGCCTTCGGTGTTTAGTCATGCCGGCCACATGACCACAGAGACATCTTTGGACAGCGCTGGCTGTTCGACTTTAAAACAGAGATGAGCAATGCCCCCTAGAGTCAGGAACAACTAGCACGTATGTGAAAGGGGAACCTTTAACTTTACCTATTCTATTCTACTCTAGTCTACTCTATTCTGTTAAATGTCTTTATTCTATTCTATTTATTCTATAATTCTACTCTATTCCTATTCTATTCCTATTCTATTCTATTCTATTGATTCTGTAATTGTAATTCTACTCTACTCTATTCTATTTAGAAAAGCAGAAAAGGTGTCTGCACAGAAGCAGTATCTATTCTGGATCTAAAGACAGTTAGGAGGAACTCATTCAAAATATTTAACAGAATAACAGAGTTGGAAGGGACCTTGGAGGTCTTCTAGTCCAATCCACTGCACAAACAAGAAACCCTCTACCATTCCAGCTGTCTGATTCCTGCAACTGTTCTTCATATGTTTTAGCCTGCAGCCCCCTAATCATCTTAACTGAAGTCTGCACTCTTTTCAGAGTCTCTACATCTTTTTTTTTATAATATGGTGACCAAAACTGGATGCAGTATTCTAAGTGTGGCCTTACTAAGGCTTTATAAAGCGGTACTAAGATTTCATGTGATCTTGAGTCTATCCCTTTGTTAATGCAACATTGGATTGTGTTGGCTTTTTTGGCTGCTGCTCCACACTGCCCGCTCATATTTAAATAATTTTCCACTAGGACCTCAAGATCCCTCTCACAGTTACTGCTACTATAGCCAGGTTTCACCTAATCTGTACCTATGCTTTTGATTTTTCTTGCCTAGACGTAAAACCTTACCTTTCTCTAGGCTGAATTTCATTTTGCTAGATAGGACCCAGTGTTCAAGTTTGTTCAGATCCTTTTGGATCTTGAGCCCATTTTCTGGGGGTTTGGCTATTCCTGCTGTTTTAGTGAGTCGTGGTGGTGCAGTGGTTAGGGTGCAGTACTGCAGGCTAGTAGACTGCTGACTACTGGCTGCCAGCAGTTTGGCAGATCGAATCTCACCAGGCTCAAGGTTGACTCAGCCTTCCATCCTTCCGAGGTGGGTAAAATGAGGAGCCAGATTGTTGGGGGCCATAGGCTGACTCTGTAACCTGCTTAGAGAGAACTGTAAAAGTACTGTGAAGCGGTATATAAGTCTAAGTGCTATTGCTATTAGTGTCATCTGTAAATTTAATGAATTCCCCTTGTATTTTGTCACCATTTGGCTAACTCCTGAACCAATATGCATGCAGGTAAGGATAATTGCAGTAGCTCTTCTAATACAAGATTGATATGAGGATATTCACCTAGTAACTGTTTAATTTCAGAAATGGCTTTTGCATTCACACCTGTTAAAACAACAACAACAATAACCTGAACTCTAAAAGCTGTACATATTTTGTAGAATCTTTCTCTGGAGCCACACAACATTTGAAGGATAATGTGACAGATATCCGCTCTAGAATGTGCACTCATTTTGCACAGGGCCTTGACTAGATGTTGCATTTAAATATGAACTTTTAGAAAAATGAAAACGTCTCTGGAAAGTCATGCATTCTGGATATGAATCTTGGTAGCCAGTTTGCTATAATTGATGTAATTGAAAGATTTAGATTGAGGATCCAAAATAAGATGGGGAGCATTTTAAAATATTTAGCATATAGCCTATTACACTTTCAAATGAGTCCAATCAGAATAGAATGGAATGGAATGCAGAATAGAGTGGGGTGGAATTGAAATAGAATAGAAGAGGATAGAACAGAATAGAATAGACTAGAATAGAATAGAATTTCAGAACAGAATAGAATTACAGAATAAAATAGAATAGAATAGAATAGAATAGAATAGAATAGAATTCTTTATTGGCCAAGGAATTTGTCTTTGGTGCAAATGCTCTCAGTGTACATAAAAGAAAAGATACATTCATCATGAATCAGATATTATATGTAACACAGACAATTGACACCCCCCCACCCCCACCAATGCTGCTTGATCAGGATGGGGTATTGGTTTCTTCAGGTTGAGGATCCAAAATAACATTGGGCAAATTTTGAAATATTTACAGCCTATTAAAGTTTCAAAAGAGTCCCATCAGATATTGTATGTAACACAAGCAGACAATTGACTTTCTTCCCCCACTTATGCTGATTGATCAGAATGGGGTGTTGGTTTCTAATTCTTTTCCTTCCTTGAAGATACTAATGTAAACACTCTTATGGTGTTTACTTGGGGGAAAGAGATGTGTGTTTCAAGATAAAAGAAAACCAACTGTAACTGCAATTGTTCCTGTTCATCAAAACAAGCAAGGGACACCGAAACCACTCTCACATTTTCCTTGGTTCTTGAATGTGAGCATGGCACAGCATAGTCCATGTTTTATTCTTTGTTATGATTTGGGCTCATATTAATCCCAATGTATTTTCTTGCTCAGACATGATCCTTTATTAATTCCTGGCAACGAACAAGTTGACAACATGGATTGCAACGTGAAAAAATATGACTCCACAGGAATGTTTCATTGGTGTCCCTCAAAGGAGATTGACAAGGTTATTTTGGTGAGTATTTGAAGAAAAGGAAGCATTGCAATTTCAAGAGCTGCAGTGGCCCAGTGGTGGGAATGAAGTATTGCAGGCTAATTGTGCTCACTGCCAGGAGTTCGATTCTGACTCTCAAGTACTGGTTCTCCTAAAGTTAATGTATTTACATTAAAACCCTTCTTCAAATTGCAATTATTTTTACCCTTGCATAGTTACCTTTACATAAACTCAACCTCTACTCGTTCTTTTGTAATGATTTCCCCCCTTTTATAAATCTTTCTATCCTGTTACAAGTAGTCCTCATCCTACAATTACAATTGAGCCCAAAATTTATGTTGCTGTTTGTTAAGTGAGTCATCGTGGCGCAGTGGTTAGACTGCAGTATTGCAGGCTAACTCTGCTCACTGCCAGGAGTTTGATCCTGACTGGCTCAAGGTTGACTCAGCCTTCCATCCTTCCGAGGTTGGTTAAATGAGGACTCAGATTGTTGGGGGCAATAGGCTGACTCTCTAAACCACTTAGAGACGGTGTTAAAGGACTATGAAGTGGCATGTAAGTCTAAGGGCTATTGCTATATTGTATAGTCAGATTGAATTATATTGACTTTCCTCCAGACTCTTTTGTGTTTTTGACGTTGGCCAGGACCACTTCGGTGTGCTAAGAATCCACACCAATGAGAAATCTGTGGACTACTACATTTTCTGTGACTTCCTAGCCATTTTCACAATTGTTGATGGTCTTAATGAGTTTGGGACTCATTGAGGTTTACTCTTCTGTGTTTAGTGTCTGCAATTAGAGCTGCGTAGATGGTTGTTTCAGAAATTCAGTGGTAATTTGACTGACTCATTAAGCTAACTCTCCAAATCAAATTTGACAGGTGATTCGAACTAGCTAATCTGATGCCACTGGGTTGAATTCAGTCTCCTTTTTTTTTTTTTTTTTTGCAAAAGCATAGCAACAGATTTTTTGACAATTGAATGAAATCAATAGGACAATTGACAAGCCCACACATGTTTCCTGTGTCTTTTCATAAGTCATATTCTATAAGTGTGATTTTCATGGTCATCCTTTGCCCTGGAAGAGTCAGAGCTGATTTTCAGTTTCTGCTTTCAGGTTTAAAAAATGGGGGGGGGGGGCTGTTAAGTGCAGTACAGTAAATAACTGTAGAACATAGAACATAAATCATAGGACTGGAAGATACCTCAGACACCTTGTAGTCCAGTGGTGGGATTCAAATAATTTAACAACTGGTTCTTTGTCCTAATGACCTGCTGGGTAGGCATGGCTTGGTGGTCATGTGACTGGGTAGGCATGGCCAACTCAACGTCACTCAGGTTGATGGGCACTTCGCTGTAGCTGTTACAATGTAATAAGGGTTCATTTTTCATTCATTTCATTTCCTTTATTTGTATGCCGCCCTTTTCCCTGGGGGGACTCAGGGCGGCTCACAATTCAAAA